CCCAGCTACCACCAATGACCGCCCTGACAGGGAACACAATAGAGAGTCCCGAATGGAGCAGGAGAAATTTGGGGTGCAGAACTCAAATTCTAGTAAGAAGAGCAGACTTAATGGTCTGACTGAGACTGGAGGAACCCCAGAAAGTGTGGCCCCTGGATTCTCTATCAGCCCAGAACGAAAACAATTTCCAAGCCCAACTCTTCAGACAGGGATTGCACTGGACTGTGGGACATAAAGTGATATTCGTGAGGAGTGTGCCTCTTAGCACAAGTAGATACAAGAGACTAAATGGGCAGCTTCTTTCTGGAGGTGTGATGGGAAGGCAGAGAGTGTCAGGAGCTGGTTAAATGGACATGGGGAAACGGGGGCGGAAAGGGGAAGTGTGTTGTCACAGTATGGGGAGAGAAATTAGAGTCACATAACAATGTATATATAAATTTTTGTACAGAAAAGAAAAGATAATTACAAAGTAAACTAGACGACCCAAAAATTCTGTGACTGTGTCTATTTTTTCCACATTATCAAGGCCTCTGGGCCTGAGACACAGAGTTCTTTGGCTGAGCATGAAATCTGGAGCCAGACTGCTTAGGTTCAAGTTCTGGTTACTGACTGACTTTGGGCAAGACTCTTAACTTCTCAGTGCCTTAGTTCTCTCATTGGAAAAGGGATAATATACAACACTTCCTCATACATGTTATGAGGATTAAATGAATTAATATGTGTAAAGTGCTTAGACCAGTGTCTGACACACAGTGAACACTATAAGTTTTTGCTATTATGATACAGTTGTCTAAGAAAATACTTCGTGATCTAATGGACCCCTCAACTAGAGGATGACTTCCATACAGAGGAAAAAAAACACTAAATATAAGTTCCTAGAAGGAATTCACAATTTGGACAGTGTCTTGAAAACAGTAAGAGCACTAATAAGCTTATAACTAAAAAGAAGTGGAATTGTTTACATAAAATGTTCTGAATGAAACTAATCTTACATCCTTGTTAGAGATGTGGCCCATCTGGAAGGAAGGTTACCTCTTAAGCTCTTGCAGAATACAAACGAAATGGAGTTAGAAAGGTCTTCCTTACAAATCAAAAAGGATTTACAGTACTCTTACCAATAAAATATAAGCAACCGGAGGAATAAAGATTATACTGATTCAATTTAATACTACATTTTTGAGTAAATTGGCTGTTTGGAATACCTGGCTCAGTAAAATACAGAAATATACACCGATTTCCTAAATGTCTGTTTTCGTCAATCTAAAGGGCACTAATAACCAATACTTCGTAACTGACCTATTTTCATCACTTTTCCTTATGCTAATTGTATAAAGCAACAAACTCAGTATTTTCAAAACAAATTATCAGATAATTTCAAAACAAATTATCAGATAAACTGCTTAAAGAAAACTTACAAGTTCCATGTTATGACAATTCCAATAATTTTTTTTCCAATATGGCAAACAAAACAGGACCAGCAGGGCAGCCTTTCTCTCTACCTCTGAGGCAGTGAGTGTTTAAGCAGTCATAGTATTAACAGGATTATTAATTCTAGATGCATAAGAACTCTGTCTTGTTCATCTTCATATTGTATACTTACTGTCACTCCTGTATAAACACTCAAATTTTTAAACATTCAGATATTAGAAATACTGAAAATTAAAAGAATTATAGAAGTATACAAAGGGAAATACATAAATGGTTTAAAAAATCTAAATACAAATAAAACCAGTCTAGTAAAGCAGGTAATAAAATAGTTAACATCTGGGTTAAGGCATTAAATAATGACTTATTGTGAAGTTTTCATTTACTCAGCCTAAGGAATGCATCAGCTAAAAAGCATATTCAATCAGTTTAGTTCTTTAATTTATACACACAAGCTTTAGTTCAAAAGTTGTTAAGGTGGTATATTTAATTCTGATTATTTAATTTTAATTGAAGTCCTCAATGTTAACATTTTTCTTACATTAACTAAGTTTGTTTATACTGCGATCTCTAGCTCAGGCACCATACCTGGTCTGTACGGCTTCCTTTTTCTTTTTTTGGTGCCCTCTGCTCCTTCTGCTCCCTTAGGTTCATCATCCACAGCTTCCCGCTCAGGACTAGATTCTGACTTTCCATCACAATCCATAAGTTCTCCTTCTGGAAAAAAGTAAATGTACACATAAGATTGGAAAACAAATGCATAATTTCTAGTAATAAGAAATAAAAAGCAAAGTGGTTGCTGAGCTATTCTAATCCTGCATCCCAGATGATAGGGAACGTATAGAAAGAGATTTTAAAAGCCTCAAATGGTTTTAGAAATCATGCTGCTGAATGCAGTGATCTCAGGAAAGGAAATATTAAGAATCAGGGAAGGGGAAAACACACAAACACAGCTCAGAAAGACCATTATAAACCAATTTGCACTTACAAAATCTTCACCTTGTTTTTAATCACGTCTTTAGGCTCAGGACCCTAAAGGAGTCTCTATCTCTAGCTTAGAACTCTCTTCTGAGCTCCAACAACAGCTGTAATTTGTTATCACCAACGTACTAAAATCTTTATATCCAAAATTGAATTCCTAATTGAAGATAAACTGCTTCCCTTTTCCAGGTGCTACCTACCTATCAACATTAAAGGCATTGAAACCTAGTCTGAAGAAGCCCAGACACCTGGGGGAGAGCCCTGACAATTCCTAATTCCTTTTCCCCCACAATCAAGATGCCTATACATTCTACTTCCTGGATAGTTCTCACAATCATTTTACTTCTCTCTACCACCATCCTCTGGATCACTTTTCTTTCCAAAAGGATGGTGGTAGAGAGAAATACAATGATTTTGGCAAAGAATATCAAATATACCACGGACCGGCAGAAGAACCAACCAATCTGTCTTAGAAGAAGTACAGACAGAATGCTCCTTAAAAACAATGACGGAGAAACTTCACCTCATGTACTTTGGACATGTTATTAGGAGGGATCAGTCCCTGGAGAAGGACATCATGCTTGGTAAAGTACAGGGCCAATGAAGAAGAGCAAGACCCTCAACAAGATGAAATGACAAAGCAGGCTGCAACAACGGGCTCAGACATAGCCTTGTGAGGACGGCGCACGACTGGGCCATGTTTCCCTGTTGTACACAGTGTCACTATGACTTGGAATCTACTCAACGGCACCGAGTACCACCACCATCCTAGTCCAATCTTCCAGATGGCTTACTGCAATACCCTCCTATCTAATTTCCCTATCTCCAGGCATACCCCCTCTCCAATCAGTTCTTTAAATTGCAGTCTAAATGTTTTTATAAATATGTATCGACTTTCTGCTTAAAATTCTATAGTGTCCTCCCAGTGCCCTCAAAATAAAGTTCACATTTTAAGGCCCACTACAGTAGTCTCTTGTAAACTCTCCAGTTTCATCTTGCTCCAACCACAGTAACTATTTGCAGTTCCTTAATGCATGAAGCTTTCTTCCACTACTTCCCCAACCTCTGCCTTCAACCTACTCATCTTTCAAGATTTATTCTAATCATCACTTTCTCCTGTTGCCATTGAGTCGATTCTGACTCATAGTGATCCTACAGGACAGAGTAGAACTGCCCCACAGTGTTTCCACAGTTGTAAATCTTTATGGAAGCAGACTGCCACATCTTTCTTGCGTGGAAAATCTGGTAGGTTCAAACCACGAACCTTTCGATTAGCAGCTGAGCGCTTAACCACTATGCCACCAGGGTGCCTCAAATGGTAGAAAGTGGTATATAAAGTGGCTCCAACATGACCACTGTCACTGAAGGCTAAGGTTTCTTTTAACCAACATCTTAATAAGGGCTTTCTGATTCCCACAGACTGCAATGAAGAAAAACACACTATACTGCCCAAATATGAAAAATTATCCCATCAATACGTCATCTGTGTATGGCTATACAATCTCTGGAAGTTTACATGATTACGGTGGTTCTCTCATTGGACAGGAACTGGATGGCAACTTTTTGAACTCTTCGCACTTTTTGAAAATCATGAACAAATATTATCTATTCAAAAACAAAACCTACTTATCAAAAATAGTTACAAATGCACATACCCTTTGGTTCAGCAAGGAATTCATCTTTCAGACCCACATTTGTATAAAATGATAAATGTACCGGGTTATTTACTCTACCATTAATAGTAAAAGACTAGAAAAAACTCCAAAGGTCTACTAATAGGGGAGGGGACTGATAAGTTACTTAAATCAAAACAAAGAAGTATTTGCAGCCATGAAAAATGAACAGTATAACATATGCAGCTGCTCATATGTGCAAAAAAATACCTCTGAAAAGATACACAAGAAATAGTAGCCTTTGGTAAAATGAATTGGGGGCATGAGTACAGGGCAGAGAAGAGTTTTCACTGTTTACTCTTTTACTGTTTTTCAGTTTGGAACCAAGTGAATATATAACCTGTCCAAAATCAAAACTAAAAAGTCAAGGGAATTAACACTAACATTACCAGAGGAGTAAGTCATAAGGAAGCAGCCTCCCTAACCAGGTGGACAGGTTATTTCCCTCTTCCCTCTCTCCTACAGCTACTTAATACCACTTCCTACTCCACTCTACCTACCTCTGTCCCCTCCCTGCTAGTGCCTAGATGCAATCTTCTCCAGCATCTGCCAAGCATCCCCTTACACTATGCTGGTCTATGTTGGGGCCTGGCAATTCAGAGGGAAGGGACTGTGTCCTCACTCTTAAGACACAGAGAGTTTCTGTTTTCTTAGGTTTGGGATTTTTTGTACTAACAGGGTTTCTACATTCCACAAGGTGAATTAGAAGCCTGATTTTATTACATAAGAGACTTGCTTTTGCTATACTAAGGTGACCATTTATGACTTACTTTCTTAAACACTTAACAAAAGCGTTAAAAATCAACAAAAAAAATCAGAAGTATTGTTACAATATTCCAGGAGCATCACAAGTTACTTTGGACCTTGTAGACTCCTGTTTAGACCAGGGTAAAATTACTTCTATGGGAACACATATTCAGACAGCCTCAAGTCTGAAATGCACATCTGAAGATCACTTTTACCTAATAATGCTTTCCAAAATTCAATTTTAAAATCATCTAGTTTCATCCTTATGTACTGTACTTTTTAATAAAGTAGTCTGTCAGGTATGACTTAATAATACAGAAGAAAATAGTTACACATGCTTTCATTATAATTTTTTCATAGCTTCCGAAATGAAGAAAAATATATGGACACATTCAGTACAGAGAAGAACTCAGGCAGACACTCCTCCACCATAAGTATTCAAAGAAACAAGCATAGGCGTAATTCCTTTCTTTTACTAATGCTAAAGAACTTATATCACATATAAAAACAATAGTTCGGGATTTTGTTTTAGTTGTGTAAGATATAGAAAACACAGGTAGCCCCCGACTTAGGACTCATCAGAGGTACGACAAACCGCACTTACGACCATCTGTTTTTTTTGTTTTTAAATACATTTTATCGTTAGTACAACTTCCTGGGAGAAAGTTACAGGAGAATGTATGCAGGGGATATGGAAAAAACTGCTGAGTTATGTCACTGCAAGCATTTGATCAGGATGCTATGATAGAAGAGATTGGGAGAAAAATTGTCCATACGGCAAGAATGCAGAATTTAGAACTTGGTATCACTGATGTAGAACAGCTCATAGGTCATGAAGGGGAACTGACAGATCAGGACTTAACGGATTTTGAAGAGGAAAGAAATGCTGAAGAAAAAAGAAATAATGAGGAAGCGGAAGGAGAGAAGTTGTCAAAAAAATTTATGGTGAAAGGATTAGCTGGAGTTTTTTTTCTAAACTAAATCAAGGGCTTTAGTTGCTTGAAAACACAGGCCCTAACACTGATTGCTTTGCTAAGGTCAACAAACAGATTTGGGAAGCAGCGATATGTTACCACAAAATATATTAAGAAAAAAAAAGAAAAGAACCATACAAACAACTCTCACTGATTTTCAGACTAGAAATGCCATCCCCATTCCCAGGTATAATTCAGATGATCCAGAACCTTCCACAGTGGAGTAATACTGCAACTGACAAAATGCCAATGTCATCCAACTCTTCTTCATCGTTGGAGTTATCTGTGAAGCATTTATTTAGCACTCATACTGTAACAGCTATTATTTCGTATGTCCCTGACGTGCATTTTCTCACATCTTCAGCACAACTACTCTAAGAGGATGGTTCTACTTAATATATTTTATAAATGAGAAGACTAAGTATCAGAGAAGTTAAACAACTTGCTTAAAAATATTCAAGGTAGGCTTCAACACTGGTCATTGCTTAATAATGGTTTCCAAAGTGTTGAGATGTGATTAAAACATGTCACTGCAACAGTGTGAAAACTGGCAAATTTTAAGTTTTATACAAAGTAGCAGAAAAATAGGCACTTTTAAAGATGAGGGTTTTGTTAGAAATCTTAGTATAACATAACAAGGATCATACTCTTAGGATCTTTTCCTGTATTTTTTTCCTGAACAGGCATATTTAAATAACATAAAACTGATTTTAAACATATGGATCTATAGAGTCTCAGGAGAGCAAAGTTGTAGTAATCTTTGATTAAAAAAAACAAAACAAAAACAGCCAATATGCTAAACAACAAGCACCTTTTTTCATATTCATAGGAGGCACTCTAAAAATAACGAGATTCACTAAAGCAATTCAAGGTGGACTATTGTACCATGTAAACAGAAAGCTAGCAAGTGTAATGACTCGTTCATCTCGTTTTCTTATACCCCGACAAGTATCAACATGAGAATATAAAATGAAGCACATACCACTTCTCAGAGTGCTGTCGCTGCACAGGGCACTAGTCACAGGGGAACTTCCTAGGTTTTGTTGTTGTTGTGTTTTGTTTTTAAAAAGTTCTATGAGCTCTCAGGTTCTCACTGTGAAGATCTAAGAAAGGAAGGCGCTGGCAGAGGGAGGGGAAAAGTAACTACTTTAAATACTCCCAGAGTGTTCTCCATAATAAAAGAAGCCTACTCTCCAAGGGAAAAAGACTTTATCAGAGCTTCAGGGACCCAACAGATGGATCTTTATCAAAAGGAGGAAAACTGTGGAAAGGAACTTCAAACCAGACTTACTGGACAAATTGAGATGGGGGGAGGAGGAAACCTCCAAACCTATTGTCTGGAAACAACTTTTGAACCTTGAGCTGAAACGATCTCATGAAGTTGTCTTTAAACTAAACAATTCAGCTCAATAAATAAAAAATGTCTGCCTTGAGCATGTGCCCTGTTGAAGAATTACCTATAGAGATAGAGATGACAACTGGAACTCTAAAGCACAGATGAGAACATCAAGGGGAAGAGAGAACAAGTTAACAGTGGTGAAATACCAGGGGCAGAGACAGTGAGAATGGTGATACAATGTGAAGTGTACAACCATCATCAGTGAACTGTGCATGCAAACACTGCTGAATGCGTGTATGTTTTGCTGTGTATTTTGTTACCCATCCCCACAAAAAAAAAGTTCTATGATCTCATAATTTGGGAAATAATGTGTACCATCAAGCAACCTTTCAAATTTTGTGTAATGTGGCATTTCCCAAAAGTAAGTGACTATGAAACCATTTTTTTAGGCATCTTCTAGTATCCTCAGAAACTAGAATTCTTCAGCACACTCTCAGTGATACTGATACAGATTCTTCCAGAGTATACACATTATTTCTTCACAAGTCCCAAACCACTTAAAATTTCAAAAGCAAAGTCTCTATCAACAGTTATTTGAACACTGGTTATATACAAGCATCTGAAAGCTTTTCTCCAAACCACAAAGACCCAAAAATATTACTACAAAATAAATGTAAGGATTAAATGATAAATTATCAGGCACATACAAAAGACATATTTTCTTTCCAAGCCATGACTCTCTTCACCTGGACTACTGCAATTCCTACTCAATCTACTTGCCACCTTGACCACATACAGTGTAGTCACAGCAGAGTATTCCTTTAAAAATATAACATCATGCCACCCTTCTCTTCAGAAATCCCCAGTGAGCTTCCGTTACACCCAGAGTAAGTTCAGACTCCTAGGGTAGTGTCTTATGGTCTTGCAAGTTCTACCGAGCTGCCTACCTCCCCACGTCTCTGATCTCATCATCTACTAATTCTCACCTTTGCTCACTCTGCTGGACACTCAAGCATGACAGGCACACCCCCACCCAGAATCTTCGCACTGATTTACTCACTGCCTGGAATGCTCCTCCTCAGATAATCCAGTTGCTTGACTCTTTAAAATATGTGCTCAAATATTGCCTTCTCAGTGAAGCTTGTCCTACCACCCCATTTCATTTGATCTCTCACCACCATCTGCACCACAGGCTCCCCTTACCCTACTATCTCTTTCCATAGCACTTGGAAAACATAATTATTTATTATGTTATTGTGTTATTTTTAGACTCTTGCTTCCTAACATTAAAATGTAAGCTCCATGAGCAGAGGATTTTATGTATTTTGTTCACTGACATGACTCCCAAAACCTCGTATGTAGTTTGTTGTTGTGTGCCATCGAGTCGATTCTGACTCATAGCAAACCTACAGAGAGAGCAGAGGTGCCCCGTAAGGTTTCCAAGGTACGGCTGGTGGATTCGAACTGCTGACTTTTTGGTTAGCAGCTGTAGCTCTTAACCATTGTGCCACCAGGGCTGCCTGGCATGTGGTAGGCATTCAATAAATACTAGCTGTTGTCGGGTGCCATCGAGGCCATTCCAACTCAGCAACTCCATGTGACAGAGCAGAACTGCCCCACAGGGTTTTCTAGGCTTTAGTCTTTACAGGAGCAGACTGCCAGGTCTTTTCTCCCGTGGAGCTGCTGGGTGGGTGCCAATTGCTGATCTTTTGGTTTAGCAGTTAAGTGCTTGACCACTGTGCCACCAGGGCTCCTTAATAGAAAAAAAAAAATTACTTTATTTCTGAATCACTTGAAAAGAAATAACCACTCTAAAACTAAACAAGCCTACAGGGATCTTCTCCAGTGATAAGCAAAATGTAACTCACTGGAGCTGATTTTTTCATCTTAAGAATTCAGCTAGGAAAATTTTTTGATATTTCCTCTGATCAAGAAGTTATTTATAAACAGTTTATGATTAACCTTCTTGGACTATAAATTTATACTTGAAGATTAACAACAGTTTTTCCATTTCTAGAATTCTACTTTAACTTATTTAGGTTTATTTCCAAACCAAATTGAGTATTACTTAAGTAAAACAGTTTTCACTGCCTCTTGCAGTCAATACTAGTTTCACTCTTACTACTCTTTATGTGAAGAATATGATGAGATTTATATGAAATTCATAATCCCTTAATCTAGTAAAACCCCTTTAATCTTTAACAGTAAAAGAAATTTTGAAGCCTGTTTTGTTGTACCCTAGTGTTAGAACTTTTAATTTCTGAATAAATATGGCATCCAAAATCACAGTATCTGAGAAGGTTTATGCTGCTATCTAGCATACTACAGTCAAGCCCTCTGAATTCTCCTACATGTGATCCTTAAAGATACGGTACTCCTGGAGACTTCTGTAAGGTAGGCCTGTTCTAAGAGGGTACATGAAAGGGAAGACACCTGAAAAGGCAAGGTCCGAGAAGACCATTCACTGAGAAAGGACAATTATTACATCAAGGCTTATCCAGGTCAGTATGATTTACCCTTACATAAATCACACATATTTTGAAAGCGATTTTATATGCTTTAATTCTTGCAAGCACAGTCCATAGAAAATAAATCAGCATTACCTCTACTGTCATCCATTTCACCATCCCTTGAATGCTCTGACTGGATGTCTGGAGGGGTCTGAAGGACAGCCACACTATTCTGATTTATAATCTTCAATTTCAACTTTGGTTTTGACCGTTTTCTTCTTGGAACTGTAACTGTGAGGCTCTGTAATTGACTCATCCCTGATTCGGTCAAACAAACACCATCCTGGGTGTAGGTTTTGGGTGGATCTAGAAATCACAGAATCCCAAGAATACAAATGAAAACTTCCATTTTAAATTCTGACTGATATATTATCATTCCAAAATACCCATATCAAGGGAATGTGACTTTTATAAAGCAGTTATCCTTAATCGGGCACCATAAACCATTGCTGTCGAGTTGATTCTGACTCATAGTGACCCTATAGAACACAGCAGAACTGCTCCATAGAGTTTCCAAGAAACGGCTGGTGGATTCAAACTGTTGACCTTTTGGTTTGCAGCCAAATGCTTAACCACTACACTACCAGGGCCTGAACTGGGCACTGAAGAGTTAATTATTCTATCAGTTAATTATTTGTGAACAATCATTTGTGAATAATTAACTGGATGGTGCCCAATTAAAACCACGAATAAATCTAAATGGCCAAACTTTCTCAGATTACAGGCAATAATACTGAGTGTTTTAAAAGAAGTCTTCCTGGCATTTCTATTTTCATGTATCAATATAAGGATTTAGAAGGAAAGCACTGAAGCTAAAATACTCCAGAAACCAATTTGAAAAACAAAGTATCAATATATAATCACTTACAGGGAGAGGTGGTAAATAAGTAGAAATCCTGCTGATTTAACTTTTGAATGTATAAAGATGCTGTTCATTAGAATAATTTCTGTACTATCCAAATGTTTTTCCATCAAATGGTATCAGATACAAGTAGGTAAAAGAATAACTGATTAATAAAAGTATCATATTTAATTACGATCCCAGGCTGATCTATTACAAAATAATAGTAACAGACTGAATTAATTCTAAAAATATCTGCATGCTTGCTAAAACTAAGTCTTATTTTTTGCTAACTGACAACAAAGCAAGTATGGCATTAATGGTTATTTTAAAGTTATTATTTTTATTGCCAATTTCCTGAAATTTATAGGAATACTGTCCCACTAAAGCTGGACAAGACTAACATTTTATTTGGATTGAAGACCCACACAATGAAGTCAGGTTTCATACAATGCATAGCAAGTAAGTTATATAAAAATTACCATTTGTAACATTTTTGTAAAGAGTAGTCAAGTAAAGCATTTCAGATTTTACCTAGCTCTTTTACTTTTGTGACAATTTGTGCTACAAGTGACGATTCACAGCAGTCTGAGGAAGGCACTGAAATAAAAAAAAAGTTAAGCAATTTTTTTTTCCAGAAAAGGTAAAGCATATTTAAAGATGAACATACGAGTAAAATTTCTATTTTTGTATCCTGTTTCATTAAAATAAATGTCTGAATACTAAATATGGCTAAAAGCTGTCTTTACAACAAGGAGAGGTGAAGAGGAAAATAAGGAACTGGAGGAAAAACTGGCAAAGATCAGTGCACTGGATCATACACCAGACTGTGCGACAGGAAACACTGCTAATAACTGCAAAATCACGTGCCTTGAAAGCAAAATTACATTTCGTATCTAAAACGCATGCTTCATTTATTTAAGTAAATGGTTTTAACATATTAATTTGGGATAATAAGAATTCATTTATATAAAATAATACCTTATTTTTTTTTTCTAAAATACTTGTCAAAATAATAATTTCACAAAAAGGAAAAAGAATTAGAGTAAGAACACTCCTGGCGAGATGCCAGTATGGATACTGTGTAATTATTCTCTTACCATTTGATGCAGGCATATAGGGTCTGCACATGCTACAATCAAAACCAATGTCTGCTACATTTTCCACTTCCTCCTCGGTATTTAAGTTTTGACAAACTGCATGCATCCATCTAAAAAGACCACATTTGTACATTAAAAAAGCAGAATACATTGAGATCTGTTTCCTTTTAAAAATTATAATAGGAGTTGAATGTCTTTAAACTTAAAGCTCTTAAGCCTCACACGCTCCCCAAATCTAGTTCATCTTAACCTTTTCTCCTAACCCATTTCCCCAATGACGCACACAAACTTTTCAGGAAGCTGGGAAAGAAAACGAGAACAAGTACTAGGTAGGGAGCAAAAGCACATTACATAAGAAGGCTAACTGTTTTATGATCATACGTTGAATATGTCAAAGACAGCAAGTAAGCTAGTTAGGGCAATTAGAAAGAAAGCCAGACAACTACAAATGGCATAGTACGCATGTAGTCTATATACTACATCGACTTCATGTAGCTATAACTCATTTAAGTGATGTTGAATGGTACCTGGGAAATAAAGCTAAGCCGTTGTCTTGCCTGGGAAAAAAGAACTGTTAGGCAAACTCCTGAGAATCCTAAGCTACGGTGAAATAGTATTGCTAATAATATCACATGTACACTGCTTAAGTGTGACAAAGCACAGTAGTATACCACTGAACCCAAAGAAAACAATACTTATTTTGAAGCTGCATACATACTAATTAGGGAGGGCAGAAAAAATGATTTAAGGAAAATAGATTGTGTGAGATCCCTTTTAGAATCTAATAAAAGACTCAAACCCTCCACAGAAAAATGCATATACGTAAGCAATAATTCTGCATATAATTTTGAAGGATTCATAAACTTTCAAAAAGATCCCAGTTGGTCTGGGATTGAGAATTTAAAAAGAGATCACTTCTGTAAGTATCTAGCCAGCTAAAAACCTGAAAAGCAAAAAATTTTGTTTCTTAAATTTGTGACCTAGAAAGTTATTTTCCGTTTTCCTTTTGCTATATTAGAAAGATAAAAGCTTGCAAAAGATGAAAACAAACAAAAAACAGCACAATACCTATCACATTGTCTGCACTGCAGAATAAGATCTTCTTCTCTATAGTGTCGATAGCAGACCGGGCATGAAGATAAGCTTGCACAGGGAGCACACTGTGTGTAATTGTTTTGCCATTCACATCTTAGACCTGAAGACGTTGCTCCACAGTGTCTGCACCAAACACACCTGAAATTCAAACACCCCACAAAAGTCTCAATTTTATTTACTTATTTAGTTCCTACAATTTAAAAAGCTACATATGAACAGAACAGGGGAAAATTATTTGATGCATACTTGATTTTCTGATTAGTGATATCCACCACAGTAAACATGTATTATTCAATTAAACAGATGTAGCTAATTTTTTTTAAAACTAAACTGATGTGGGAAAGTTCTGAACTTGAAAGACTAACAACGGAAATGTAAATCCTAGAGTACCATTTGCACTTCCAGCCTCCTTTGGGAACTGTCTGCAATGGAGGATCTAGGCAGTAGGTGTGATAACTTATGTCACAATCATCACAAAGAAGGAGTCTTCCTGGGTCAGTAGCCTTCCCACAGGCCTCACATACAGTGCATTCAAGACACCTCCAACCTTTGCTAAGAACAACTTTAGTGATCTGTAAAAGAAACAACCAATCCATGTGATTTATACATTAACCTATGCCTCAGTTTGCATAATTAATTATACTATATAAATGAATATGGTGCTTATGTACCTAAAGCAGAAAAAAACAAACAACTAACATTTACTGAGCACCTACAATGGGCCTGATGCTGGGAGGGGCACTTCCATGTACTTTTAAGAGCCTACCTACTGAGGAGAATAATAGGAAGTGGCACATGTTTTAATGCCTTTTTTTTTTTTTAAACTCCACATTAGTACCTTGTGCTAGGGATTTTATGTCCAGATTAGAGATAAGGTGACTGAAGTTTAACCAAGTAAAATGCCCCCCTACTGCTGACGTAGGATTTGAAAATATATCAGTATGGTCTCTATCTACATTTCCATGAATTCCACTTTCCTGAAATTTGAAAATATATCAGTATGGTCTCTATCTACATTTCCATGAATTCCACTTTCCTGAAATTTGTGTACATGGCATAAAGATTTTTATATTAAAATCAACATGAACAATAATAGAAAAAATGCAGAAAGAAAAAACAAAATGAAGGTAAAACATGAGTTCTCAAGAACATTTTACGACCTTGGAGGATTCTGAACTATGAAGGTAGGACTTCTGAAATTCACCCTCACTCCTCTGTTTACTTTCCTCAACCTCAAGGGTCTAAGTTAGTAGAAAAGTTGAGAATCTCTATACTGCCCAATAAGTCCCTCAAAGGCAGCCACATCATGTAATATTAAAAATTTAGAACCAACCTCTTAAAGATCTCAAAAAACTAGAGTCTATAGATAAAAAGGATCACAGTGCCCACATTATAATGAAATAGGAAGTAATCAAGATACAGATAAAAATCTGAATTTTCATTAATTCAGATCGTGAAGAATAAGAGAGCCTAAAGTCTACCTGAAGAGGAAAATTAAAAAGTTAAATACAAAAGATCAACTATCAGAACGGCATCAAACTTCCCAATTATGGATTCTAGAAAACAACAGAATAATAGCTTCCAAATTCTTTAGGAAAATACTCTTCTCAAAGTACAATTCTTAGCTAAACAAGCAATGAAGTGTGAAGGCAGAATATATTTTTAGACATACAAAGACTCAGAATTCAACTCTCACAAATTCCTTCTAATGAAAGTTATGTAGAGATATGTAGAACAAAATGAGGGTTTATACCAAAAAGGAAGACAGAGAATCCAGAAAACAATGAATTCAACAAAGGCATCAGTCCAGGGAAGTTTAAGGATAAGAGTAGAGCAACAGACCTAGAAGCCACTGTCACAAACAAGAACAAGAATATGAGGAGCCTAGGAAAGAATAAGTTTATTCCCAGAAAAAAAGGGGCTTAACAAGGTAATCTGACATGGTGGCACTTCCATCTGCTATGGCAGTGAAAACAAACAACAACAAAAACCAGTGAAGATCCTTAAAGATTACTTTCTTCTTGCTATTAAACCTCCAATGAAAAATAAAAGAAAGTCATAGTACAGTGTTTAGATCTACAGTGAACATTTACTGAGTCATAACCAACACTTTACCTGGCTAAATGTAGTAATGCAACTATATTGGGAGAATGTGTTCCAACAAAATTGTATTTGTAAAAACAGGTGCGTAGACCAGATTTGGCCTGCAGCCCATCATTTGTCAACCTCCAGCTTAGAGGAAAAGGTAAGATGATCTGAAGATAAAGTATGAAACAGATTAATGAATTTACTAGTGGAGTTTTTTAAAAAATGTATCTTCATTCCTGCTAAGTCAAGTTTTCTTATTTTAGACAGCTACCCTGCAGTCTATTCTAGCCAAACCCTCAAGTTACTCAGTTCACAATTACTCTTCAACACACCACGATCTGGTCTCTATGTTCATCTCCATTGAAACTGCTCAAGTAGGTCAATCAAGGCCTTCTAGCTCCCAAATCTTACTGACACTTTAGTTTTTGTCTTACTTGACCTCTCTGCAGTACTTCAACTCTTAAACATTGTTTCCCCCTTTGAAAGTTCCTCTTCCCCTATGTATTAAAGCACCATTCTCAACTGATTTTCTCCTACTGCACTGATTTAGTCTTAATTTTCAAGAGCTCTTTCAAGTAAGGTATTATCTAGAGTTCCATCCACAGTACCATGTCAAAGTTGTGATAGATGTGTTTTATAATCTATAATGCATACTGTTACAACTAACTGGAACAGATCTTTCTCCAATCATAAAAAAAACTAGAAAACTGAGCAAGATATATAAAACAACTGTTTTTAGACACTGGACAACAGGCGGTACAGACTGTGATCTCTGTGAGGAGGGACGTTTTCCAGATTGCTGCACAAACAGGTAGAACCCCAGCAGAGTCTCATGGAGTTTAGAAGACATGATGGAGTTCAGGAAAGGTGAGGCAGCTAGAATTTACAGGACAGAGTACTGGAAAGGAAGAAGCAATGCAGAGTCAAGGCTCCAGAAGTGTTCACAGGGTTCTCCTTGAGTCTTTGGCTGTGTATCTACTAACCCAAACAAGGGGCTACAGCTAGAGGAGAGAACTGTTATTGGGAAATTGTAAGATTAACAATCACTGAAGCTCACATAGAGTCAAAAGACTGCTAAACAGGAGGAGGGTATTTGGTAGAGACCCCAGAAAGGCCAGTCCTTAGATATAGGGTGTTAAGCTAGCTAAAACAGCAGCTGTCAAAGTGTGGTCTGGGAAATCCCAGTGGGTCTGAAAGAGCAAAACTATTTTTATACAAATACTAATATGTTACTTGTTGTTTTCACTGTCATTCACTCAGGATTCTACAGTGGTGTTTTCCAGAGGCTATATGATGCATAATAACATCGTTACTTTGACGTAATACAAATTGTGCTTGTATTTAAAAATTTTGTCAGTTTCAATTTCTAAAATGATAAACATCAATAGGTATAATCCTCATAAACATAAACTCTTCGTGTCTGCAATAATTTTTGAGTGTTAGAAGGTTTCATGACCAAAAAGATTGAGAATAAGGGGCCACATAAACCAGAGACTTCATCAGCCTGAAACCAGAAGAACTAGATGGTACCCGGCTACCACCAAGACTGCCCTGACAGGGAACACAACAGAGAGTCCCTGATGGAGCAGGAGAAAAGTGGGGTGCAGAACTCAAATTCTAGTAAAAAGACCAGGTTGAGACTGGAGGGACCATCAAAGACATGGCCCCCGGACTCTCTGTTAATCCAGAACTAAAACCATTCCCGAGGTCAACTCTTCAGACAAAGATTAGACTGGACTATGGGACGTAAAATGAATACTCATGAAGAAGTGTGCTTCTCAGCTCAAGTAGATACTTGAGACTAAATGGGCAGCTCCACTCTGGAGGCGAGATGAGAAGGCAGAGAGGTCAGGAACTGGCTGAATGGACGTGGGAAATCAGGTAGAAAGGAGGGTCACATAACAATGTACATATAAATTTTTGTATGAGAGACTAACCTGAATCGTAAACTTTCACTTAAACAACAACAATAAAAAAAAGAGAAAAAAAAGATTGAAAATAGCTATTTTAGAATAAAGATTCTTTAGAAATCTTAAGAAGAAATTTCAAAAGGATCAAACTATCCACAAATAATTTAACCAACTGCCACAGCAAAACCTCTTTAAAGAAACAAAGTTCAGACACTCAAAAATATACTATTACCATGTCCACCATCCAACTGAAAATCACTAGACATACAAAGAAACAAGAAAGTATAACTTAATGCAGAAAATTAATTAATACAATGAGAAATGACAGAGATGATGAAATTAGCAAAGATTTAAAACAGCTATTGTAAATATATTAAAAAATTTAAAGGAAAACAAGAACATAAGGAAAAATATTAAAATTATAAAAAGAACAAAATAAAGCCAAGATGAACAATACAGTATCTGAATGAAAAATTCACTAGATGGGTTTAAAAATAGATTAGATACTGCATAAGAAATGTGAACTTGGGAACTGCAATAGAAACTATTCAAACTAAAGCACAGAAAGAAAAACAAAAACAAAAAACCCAACAACAGCAAACATCAGTGACCTGTGGGACAATATCATGCAATTACACACACACATACACACACACACACACACACACACACACTCTTGAGATTCCAGAAGGCGGGGGGCTAGGGAACAGAAAAAAAAAATTGAAGAAATAATGACCAAAAATTACCCAAAAATTAAATAAAAATAATACCAACCTACTGATCCAAGAAACCTAAGAAATCAGAATAAACACAAAGAAAACCTCACCAGGGCATATTATAAACAAACTGCTGAACCAAACCAAACCACACCCATTGCTGTCAAGTTGATTCTGACCAAAACCAAAAAACCACAGCTGTTGCCATTGAGTTGATTCCGACTCCGAGTGACCCTACAGTACAGAGTAGAATTGCTCCATAGGGTTTCCAAGGAGTGGCTGGTGGATTCAAACTGCTGACCTTTTGGTAAGCAGCCAAACTCTTAACCACTGTGCCACCAGGGCTCACTACAAGTCAGAACTGACTTGACCACAGTGAGTCTGATTTTTTTTTTAAACTGCTAAAAACCAATGTTAAAGAGAAAATCTTAGAGGCAGCTAGAGAAAAAGTCACATTGCATTTAGAAAAATAAAGATAAGAATGCTTACTGACTTCATCAGAAACAATGCAAGCCAGAAGATAACAGAATGACATCTTTAAAGTGTGGTGGGGGAGGGCACAGTCAACTTAGAATATCATATCCAGGAAAGCTGTTTTATATTCCTTACAGAATTTACCATATTACTTTTCACAGATGAGATCAATAAATTGCATTGTTTTAAAAATTTAGTAGTAAGTTGCAGTATTCTGTACCAAATGCTATTAGTGGTATAATCAGAACCAAACGTAGTCAGAAAAATTGGTATTTAAATTCTTGCTCAGCCAGTTACTAGCTATTTGATATTGTACTAATTGATCTTAACTTACCTACGCTTCATTGACCTCATCTGTAAAATAGGATTTACGAGACTGGGATTAAAAGAAATATACAAATGTTCTGAGCATAAACTCTCAAATCTTAATTTCCCTCCTAAAGCCCCTTCCAACTTTTAGGAAAGGAAGAATGTCATATTAACTTATCAATTTGGCCCATGGAGCTTATATTTCTGTCTTCCAATGAACTTTTTCAATTTCCTCAGATCACTAAGTGTTCTAAAAATAAATTCTAAGTTTAAAAATAACAAAAATTAAAGAAAATTTAGCATATAAAGGCACAAAAGAACAGTTAATCATTTACTATGCATATATAATTCTATTTTTTAAACTGATTTTACATAATTTGTGTCCTTTTTTCCCTTAATATACTGTGGGAAGCTAACTTTAAAAGACTATATAGATTTATAGACTGACTATTATTCCATTTTGGATAAATTACAATTTTTCACTTTAATTCTGAAAACCACAACGAGCTACACACCCTAGAAAAGAAACATTAGTACAATGATCAACAAAGAATCCCCAAGAGGACATCTATGCCAACATCTTAGGTAAATCAATGATAATAAATATAGGGATGTGTGAGGGGCAGGATAGAAAATGATAGAAACCATTTGTAAGTTGAGGATGATTCACGACCGTATAAGCAAATGAAGTTAGTATTTCTGCACATCACATGGTAGGACTTGGTTGTGGAGTGTACAGCAGGACCCTTGATGTACAGCTGTACCTCTATGCTTACTTTGTTCTTTTGTTCAAATACACAAGTTTTATTAAAGTGACAGACTGAGCTCTTGGGACATGTTCACATCTAAACAGCATTTCAAAAAAGCACAAGTTTACTCTTTATAAGGTTCCTCAGTAAGTTTCTAACTGGAAATACATGAAATTGAGAACTGCTAGCTCTATGTGTACTGAATTGCATTAAATATGAATTTCTTTTTTTCAGCTAAAGGAGAAAATGTCCTTTTGTATTAGGGGTGAGGGTGAGAAGAGTAAAAGGATACCAGGACAGGCTAAGGAATTTTTACTAAGGACTCTAATTGTTCTCAACTTTTATAATCAATAGGCAAAGTAAATCAACTAAACCTCATGCCATAACAAATAATAGTATAAACTGTCTTTTAAATTTTATGCTTTACTTTTTCAAGACAGCAGTAGGATAATTAGTATAATTTAAGACCAGAAAATTACAGGAGTCAATTTTTTGAGGTAACAAACACCTTAGATTTTAATAAAGTATTTAACAATATATGTATAATAATCACAACAAATATTACTTGCCTAATTATTAAAAACTGAAAGCAGCATGTTACTACTCAAATCAAAATTCAATAAATTTTTACGAACTCATTTAAAGGTATTTACCTTAATACTGACACAGTACGGATGGTAACACTGACCACACTGAGAACAGGCAAGCAATCTTCCCTCTGCTCCCTGGCCAAAACTCCCACAAACTACACACATATCCTGAAATTAAAAACACATGAACATATTTTAATCTGAGACTAAACTAAGAGTATACAAATTTTATTTTAAAAATATCTTCTAGTTAAGTAATAGACGATTTCTGTATATTTGAGACAGTAGAAACAGGCAAGGAGGAATTCAAAGGTGGAAAACAGTAATTTAAGTTCAAACCTGATGCAAAGTGAACTTGTCACTACTAGAAAACAGCACAACTGTATTGTGCATAGAGTTTTCTTCTTCATCTTTATTTGATGAAATATCTGCAGTAGACACCTATAAAAAGTGAAATACACAAAACATTGTTATATTTTTCACTTGTACTATATTTAAACTAGAAAGCTTGAGAAAATTCGTACTCAAAATAGAATTTTTGCCAAGATCTATACTAACAATTCCTAATTAATTACTGCCAAGATACTACCATAAAACTTTAAGTCAAAATATTTTTTATTCACCTAATGGTCTCTTCAGAGTTGCAAGTCCCACAGATCAGAAGTAATGTAAAAAACATAAACCTTCCTTTAGTAAGACTTCATTATCTAGAAATTCTAATAAAAAAACTATAAAATTATAATTTTTTTATACCGTGTGTGCGCACCCGCGCACATGTATGTATATGAAACATTATTTTAGTGATACTTTAGAACTGTGGCTATCCAATATGGTAGAGAGGTGGCTACTGAGACCTGCAATATGGCTAGTCCAACCTGAAATGTACTGTAAGTGTAAAACACACATTAGATTTTGAAGACTTAGTACAAGGGCAAAAAAAAAAAAGAATGTAAAATATCTCATCAATAATTTTTTACATATTACATGTTGAAACAATAATATTTTCATTATATTGGATTAAATGACATGTATTAAAATTAATTGCACCTGTTTCTCTTTCCTTTTTAAACATGGCTACTCCAAACCAAACCAGTTGCCTTTGAGTCAGTTCTGACTCATGACAATCTCATGCATGTCAGAGTACAACTGTGCTCCACAGGGTTTTCAATTACTGACTTTTCAGAAGTAGATCACCAAGCCTTTCTTCTGAGGTACCTAACTCAGGGTGAACTTGAACCTCTAACCTTTTGGTTAGCCAAGTGCTTAACCGTTTGTGCCAGCCCAGGACATCAACATGGCTACTAGAAAGTTTTAGATTACATATGTGGCTCACATTATATTTCTATTAGATAGTACTCTTTAGAATATTATTACTGTGAAAAAATTATCAAAATTTCAGTATTAGCAAAAGGATGATCAACCAGAAATGTTCATTTCCGGACTTGGTTATATTTGACCAAATCAACTAAGTACCTATTAATTTGTTAATAATTATTTCCAGAGTGCAATTTTTAAAAAGGTCTGAATTAGATGTGGTAAAGAACAGTGGGGGCCAATGCCAAAATCATAAAATATGACCCCCTCCTCTTCCTTTAAAATGCTTACAATCTATCCTGGAAGTACAAAGGTAAAACACAATAGGTTAAGGTCAAAATATAAAGTATTAGTAATTACTTTCCTTGAGGGATGATTAAGAGAATAACTCAATAAAAGGGCTATTATCACATTTTTATGCAAAGAACGCATACCTTCTACATTTGTTTGCCAACCGCTCCCATCTCCCACAAAATATATTCACAAGTGCCGCTATGCTGAATTTTTTTACAGCAAAAAAAAATAAAATAAAATTTGGCATAGTGGTACTTACGAAAATACACTGCGGCGGGGGGAGCGGCTGACAAACGTAGAAGGTGTGTGTTACCTATGTAAAAATACCGTACGTAACATTTTTCAAAGTAACGAACTTTAGATAGCAATTTCAACGAACAGTACTGTTTTATTATAGTGCCAACAATAAGAGCAATTTACAGTCATAAAAAGTATAAAGACTACAAGGGAAAATTGTAAACAAGCCTCCAGATTGGAAAGAAAAATAAAAACTGTGAGACAACATGGTCATGTATGCAGAAAATCCAATCAATGGATTCTACAAAAAAACAAAGATAATAAATGAGTTTAGTTAGGCTGTAGGTTACAAGATCAATTTAAAAAATAGTATTTCTACATAATAGGAAGTAACAATCAGAATTTGAAATTAAGACATGAAAAGCATTTACAACAAGCTAAAAAAATATGAAAAACTTAGGGATAAATCTGACAAAAGGTGTGAAAGACTTATATGTTGAAAACTACAGAACATTACTGACAGAAATTAAGGAAGACCTATAAGAAAAGGAGAGATACACAATGTCCATGAGTTGAAAGACTCAATATGCTTAAAATGTCAACTTTCCTCAAATTTACTTATAGATTAAACACAAATCCAATCAAGATTCTAGCAGGTTATTAGCAGAAATTAACAACCTAACTCTAAAAATGATAGAGAAATATAAGGGATCTAGAATAGCCAAGGAAACCCTAGTGGTGTAGTGGTTAAGCGCTACAGCTGCTAACCAAAACGCTGGCAGTTCGAATCCACCAGGCGCTCCTTGGAAACTCTACGGGGCAGTTCTACTCTGTCCTATAAGGTCATTATGAGTCGGAATCGACTCGACCGCAATAGGTAGAATAGCCAAAACAACTCTGAAAAAAACAGAAGATTGGAAGATTAACAGTATCTAATTTCAAGATTTATTATAAAATGGAACTAATCAAGATAGTGTAGTACTGGCCTGAAGACAGAGTAATAAGTCAACAGAGCAGTAGAGTAATTCCAAAAATAGACACACACACATATATGGATAACTACTTTTCAACAACTGGGTGGCACAAATGGTTAAGTGCTCGACTACCAAAAAGTTGGCAGGTTAAACCTATTCAGAAGACAGGCCTGGCAATCTGTTTCTGAAAGGTCAGAGCCTTGAAAACCCTATGGGGCAGTTCTGCTCTGCACACGTGGAGTCTCTATGAGTCAGAATCAGCTCCAAGGCAACTACCAATAACAAAGATTTTCAACACAGATACAAAGGCAATTCAGAGAAATGGTGCTAAAACAAATGGATATTAAATATGCAAAAAAATGAACTTTGACCCACATTCTTACCATTATTTAAATATTAGCTTCCATTATAGACCTAAGTTCAAAACATAAAGCCTTAAAACTTATAGAAGAAAACACAGAATGTGTCTGTGAGCTTGGGTTATGCAAAATTTCTTTGACAGCCAAAAGCACAATCCATAAAAGAAAAAAGTGATAAATCGGACTTCATCAAAACTTAAAACTTCTGCTCTTCAAAAGACACTGTCAAGACAAAGAAAAGACAGACCACAGAATGCAAGAAAATACTTTCAAATCATAGATCTGATGAAGAATTTGTGTCCAGAATATATAAAGAACTCAATAATTAAGGTTTTAAAAAACTACCTATTAAAATATGGGCAAAAGATTTGAAGAGTCACTTTATCAAAAATATACAGATGGCCAATAAGCACCTAAACAGCTGGCAACATCATTAGTCATTAGAGAAATGCAAATGAGACAGTATGACATACTTATTAGAATGACTAAAATTAAAAAGACTGACCATACCAAGTATAGGTTAGAGGTGGAGGAAATGGGAACTCATACACTCGGGGTGGGAATGTAAAGTGATACAACCAATGTGACAAAAAGTTGCCTTTTCTAAAAAAAGTAAATACACATCAACCATACAATCCAGTCATTTCACTCCTAGATATTTACCCAAGAGAAAAGAAAGCATGTGTTCATACAAAGGCTTATACAAAAAAAGGTGATAGCAGCCTTTATTTCTAATAGCCAAAAACTGGAAGCAATCAAAATGTCCTTCAATAGGTGAATGAATATAACTGTGGCACATCCAACTATGGGATACTACTCAGCAACCAAAGGGAAGAACTATTAACATACGCCACGGTATGGATGAATCTCCAAATAATTATGCTGATTTAAAAAACCAGCCCCCAAAAAGTATATTCTGTATGGTCCCACTTATATACAACTCTAGAAAATACAAACTAATCTATAGTGATGGAAATCAGATCAGTTATTGCCTGGGGATGAGGGGTAGTGACTGGGAGGGAGGAGAGAGGAATTACAAAGGGGCATGAACTTTTTGGGGTAAAAACTATGTTCACCATCTTGACTGGTGTGGTTTTCAAAGGTGTATACTTATGTCAGAGCCCTGGTGGCACAATGGTTAAGAGCTCGGATGCTAACCAAAAGGTTGGCAGTTCTAATCCAGCAGCCATTCCTGGGAAACCCTATGGGGCGGTTCTACTCTGTCCTACACGGTCGCTATGAGTCGGAATGAACTCGATGGCAATGGGTTTGGTTTTTTTGGATACATATGTCACAACTTTTCAAACTGTATACTTCAAATATTTATAGTTTATTTTGTATCAATTATACCTCGTAAGCCTATTATTTATCCCCACTTGGATTTGCTTAAAAAAAAAAAAAAAAGAACAAGAATGCAAGTCTCCTTACTCCTTGTTTATTAGTAAAACTGAACAATTCCACTTGTTTCATGAACAATGAGCAATATTTATCAATTTTATATTAAAATACGTCAAAGACAGTTACAGAACCTTCAACACTGTCAGAGTACATACTAATCTGCAACATTTGTCATTTCTTCTGTAAGGCATAGTACAAAAATGAAAGCAACTGCAATCAAAACCTTAAAACTGCAATCTAATTAATTTTTTAAAATAAATCCAAGAATATAACAGGAGTTTGTTTTTTTAAATAAAAGAAATATGCTACATATTGTATGTTGGGGGAAGGTGCAAGAAGATAAAATAAGAGTCAAACAGGAAGGTAAGAAAAGAGAAAATGAATGAGAAACTGAAAAATAATAAAATAAAACTTGATTAGAGATTAAAAAAAACAAAGTAGAGGTAAGAGCAAAATGAAATAAAAATTTTAGTCTACTCATGTGACTATTAAAGTCCAAATGATTAGCTACAAATGAGTCTTATCATTCATTAACATGTTCAAGATTAGAACAGAAATGAAGCCAGCCTCACCCCAGGTAGTACAACAGCTCCAATTCCACTTTTCAATTTTGACCTGCCTCTGCCACCTCGTCCTGACAGTCCTGCACCACGAGGTCTCCGCTTTCCTGGAAATCCTGACCCACGCCCCTACACAATATATAAGTAAACAGTAAACATTTTTTAAAAGCCAAAAAGAATTTTCAAGTTCAAATGTCAGTGATCTAAACATTTCACTAAATTTAGAGTACATCTACTTCATCAGCCAATGAAAACAAAGAATTAAATCCTGAGAATTTAGGCTAATAACTTCAGGAAAACTTTTACCAAAACTACTTGTTTCTCTCTTTTATTTTGATGACAAGATAAATACTAAGAGACAGGCTTATTATTTGTATCTTTAAATATGTATTCTGCAACTTAATTGTAAACACATTGTATTCGATAAAGAATAAGTATAAGGAAGGATTCCTGCTAATTACTCAGTAATTATAGAATTAGCTGACATTTACTGATCACTTACTCTTTATGGATCTAAGTACTTTTTACTCTCAACAATCTTGTAAGGTAGGTAGTATTTCATTATCCCCATTTTAGAGATAAGTACACTGAGGTATAAAAGGTTAAGCAACTTGTTCAAAGTTACAGAGCAACCAAGTCTGGCTCCAGTGTCTATATTCTGAACTACTATTTTGTACTGGTAAATAGTATAGAAGTTAATTTCTGTTGGTGTAAAATTATTTTTTCTCCTCTGTCATTAAAATTAAGTCAACTTCCTTTACTATTCGGTAGCTGTCTATATGAATGGAATATGTCTACCTCATTCTGTCACAGTATTTAAAGGAAACTTATTTAAAGATTATAGTACAGTTGATGAAAGGGTAAAAACCATGTTTCAAATCATCTAGATAATGACTACTTCAAATAGAAATAATTATCTGAATTTTTATCCAATACAAGAAAAAATTCTATAGGAAAACATATTAAATTCCCTGAACTCTTAAGAAATACCAGTATTTTTTGTTGTTGTTGCTTTTTGTGTTTTGTGTTGTTGTTATACTCAGACTTGTGTATTACTACCTAAAAAAACCTGGACTCTCTACAAGTAAATGTACTATGAATATTTAAACTTATTTAAATACTCAGGAAAATTCTCTTTAATCTTTTTTTTTACTCTGACAAGTTAAATAATATGTCATATCTTCATTTGATGTTATATATCTCAGTATGAAATGCTGAACTCATTACCTATTTAGCAGAATATTTCTAAGTAGTAATTTATTGTACAATAATATATCGTTAAGCACAAAATAGATACACATGAACAAAAGAGAAGAGGGTTATCTTTTCCCCCAGTTTTAATAAATACAGCCAACTTCCAGTTTTTACACTGCTTCTCCTTGTCTTCTCTAAACTGCTCTCCTTTAGATCCCTTGAGGGATCCAGCAGCTTCTTTGAACAAGGGTGGGTTAGGTAGGAGTGGGTAGAGACTATTTTTCAAAAAATAGGTACAAAAGATTTTTTTAAAACTTAAGCCAATGATTAAATCAAGACTACAGTAATCTCTCAACTTGTTTTTCTCCAACAACTGGCACAGACAAGAACACATAAATTAAAATTGGTACTTTCTCCAAAATTGTGAAACAAGTAATCTTACATACTATTAAAACAAATGCTTATACTTAAACAGTCTGGATGATAACAGGGTGAGTTGGATAGTAGTTCTTCCAAAGGTGATAGAAAAAAGAAAGTGGATACTGGAACTCTTTGGAATCTTTCATTAGTCTAAATAAACAGCCTTATTTCAGCACTATATTAAATATAGAACATGAAGAAAAATTATGTTCTCTAGTCAATAAAGAATTTCAGCTTTTGCAATGATTAACACTTTTTCAAACTAATATTTTTTCTTCAAAATGCATCATAGTACTTAATTTACTTCAAAGGACTAGCAGGGTAAAACTTCCACAAGCTGGCATGAAGAAGAGGCCTCTTCAATCCTGAGCTGCAATTCTGGTATTTCTTCTCCATTAGTATATAATAGATTAATGCAGCTGTTCTTTCGTTCTTTTCTTAGCAACCAAATTTTATGATAGCAGGAACAAGCCAAGTCCTTAATTACACCTTATGGCTTATGTGATAAGGATATTCCCCCTCAGAGAAATACAGGTCATTACAACATAAGAAGTGACACACAAAAAGAGATATTAAAAATTTACACTTGAAATCAGTCACATAAAATTATGATTTAATATCCGCCTAGTCCAGATTTTAAAATGCAAACATGTTTGCATTAAGATTTTTAGATTAAAAAAACAGGCTGTGAAAGCTGAACTATTTACCTATAACAGAAAGGTTTACTCTTAACTTCTACTAGGACAACACAACCAGAAAGAAATGACACATGAATATAAATGCAATTTTATTTACCACTTTGATGCTCCAAATGGCACTGCCAGAGAGCTGCCTGGGTTTAAAAATTTCCCGACCTTCTGAAATGTCTGGGGACCAGGAAGGTAGACTCACTGTATTATGGGTACTCCAAGCCCCCTAGGATATGGCAGGTGAGAAAACAGATGTATAAAACTCAGCAACATAAAAGGTCAAAGCCAGCAACTAAGGAAGTTTAAACAGCAAAAACAAATGCAGATGTATAGAAATTTAGGACAAATTGCTTCAAGGTAGGGAAAACAAATGAATCACTTACAGTGACTTAACACTTAAATGTTTGCAGCTACCATTTACATTTTTATTCTGGTTGAAACATCAGTACACTGAAACACATTAAAAATTAAGATTTATATGACATCAACATTGACTCATGTACTGCAATATTGTAGAACCGAAATGTAAATAAAAGTCAATCAAACTCTAAGAATTAACACTAGAAGAAACTATACGGGGACTATCTTTTTCTAACAACTATCACTCCACTGAGAAGAAACAGATAATTCTAAAGAATGGAAGGTGTATCTATTGCTGTTGAACAACCAAACCAGTTGGCAAAAAAAAAGAGAAAGGTTAACAAGAACCTTGAGCAAGCAACATATACATAAACTTTAAATTGTGGAAAGTTAGTCTTTAACCTTAAGATGCAAATACCATTATAATCTTAGCATTTATTTACACTTGTTTCAGCGACTCTAAATTGTCAGTTTTGATTTTGATTTAGGGAAATGAATATTATACTAAGATTACAACTAAAGGACTAATTTGGAAAGTGAAGAAATGTTAAAGCAAATTGTCCTAAATTTGCAAATTAAAATGCCTAAAGTAGCTAATAAATTATACTGGAAATAGTATCTTATTAAAATAGTTAAAATTAAGGCATTTCATTCCCAAATAATCACATTCAGCAAAAATCTGAACTAATCTGATGAAGATGCTAAACAGCACAAAGAAAAATGTTTACTCCACAAAGATAACATTTTAAAGAAAAATACAAATGTCAAGCAATAAAGAACCTATTTTAAATTCAGTAATACAACAATGCATAATTTTATCAATTAAATAACCAAAATTTAAGACAAGTACATAGCACCTACCAGGTCTCTAGAATATTATTAAACAAGGAATATCCTATTAACCACATAAAAATACTGTGAGGAATTAAAATGATAAACTGGAAATAAGAGCTTGAATATCCTTTGATGCAGGGGAAACAGTTAATGAGTAACAGCATTTTGAGAAAAACCACACAGTGAATGACAGACTGGTTTCACTTTTAATTTATGAGCTCAAACCTCAAACATTTTAAATTTAGTAATCCCACGTATCCTCTATAGCAATACTTTTTTACCCTCCAGGATTATTTTTATGCTTCTCCCTGACCTATCAAATCCCTAAGCTACCTTTTCCAAGGCTCAGCTAATGGTTATGCTTATATTACTGAGAACACTAACCACTGCAAGTGAATTACCTCATTCCCCCCAAAAAATCTTCTTGCATCCATGCCAATGCCTTTTTTCTATGCCCAAGTCTTTGGTGGCTTCTACGTTGCCAAAAGTTATTTCTCTATTTTCATTTTACTCAAACTTGCAACATCTAACATAGTTACATTAGATTCTGTGGTAGCAACATGCTGATGTTTCAGCTGCCATTTCTCAGTCTCCTATGCAAGCTCTTCCTCCATATGACCTCTAAACCAAATAGTGTTTCCTAGTCTGAAACCTGGACAACTCTCTTCTTCACATATTCTCATCCTAAATGTTATTATCTATTATGAGGGCTTTAAACACCATCATGGATGCCGTTGAATTCCAAATTCACGTCTAGTTTTAACCTCTTCGGAGATCTCTAAATTGGTGTGATTTTCAACTTCCTTCTTAATATTTCCATTTTGTCACCCAAAACTTCTCAGATTTACCATGTCTAAATGGCATCCAGTCTTCAGGTCAGAAAACTGGAAAACAGTCATCTTTGACTATCACTCTTCCCCCAACCACTTCAATCTTCATCCCTGCCACCTCTTCAATCAAAACCATCAGTAAATTCAATAATTTTTATCTTCAAATTTTGCCCCCAATTATTCTACTTCTTTGCATCTTCACGGCCAACAGCCCAGCCCTGGATACCACCATCTCTCACTGAGCCTGCTACAAGAGCCTGTATCTTTTCAAGTCTTTCTCCAAACAGCAGCCAGAGGGACTTTTCAAATATACAAATCTGTCTAAGGAAGACACTCCCTTATTTTAAACCCTTCAATTATTTCTCAGTGCACTTAAAATACAAACCTTTACCACTACCTCTACAGCCAAAATGCTCCTTATAAGTGAGGATGGCAACAGTTTCTCTCACATACTTAGACATGTTATCAGCAGGGATCAGTCCCTAGAAAAGGATGCCACACTTGGTAAAGTAGAGGGTCAGTGGAACAGAGGAAGATCCACAATGAGATGGAATAATACTGCACCCAACAATGGGATCAAACATATCAGCGATTGTGAGGATGGCACAGGACCAGAAATTGTTTCATTCTGTTGTACAAAGGGTCGCTATGAGTCAGAAATGACCTGATAGCACCTAACACCACCACCACCACCACCTCTCTTCAACCGCATCTTATGGGATTCTCCCTCTGCCAGCATGCCCTATGTACTCTGGCTTCCGTGCTATCCTTCAAGCTATACTAAGCTCTTCAGCAATCAAGGCCCTACTGACCCTTACTAACCCAGAACATTTCTCCACTTCTCCAAGTTTCCAACCCTTTTTAAAATGGTTGGTTTCTTATGATCCTTCAGGTATGGCCTGACATATTTCCTCACCAGAGATGCCTTTCCTTAGCTCCCCAAGTGAACCACCATCTCCCTTACCGTATCTTTAGTATCTTCTCATTGCATCACAATTTGTGATCATGTATGTTTTATTGTTTATGATTTTATTTAGTGGCAGGGAGTGGTAACAAAAGATATTTAAATTTAGTTCTCTCGGTATTTCCATTGGTTTTTCTAAGGATATTTGACTAGTGTATCTCTTAAATTCCTTTTGGTTGATATTTAAAGCTATGTCAGTAGATAGTTCTAAAAACATACCATAAAAGTTGTACTCTAAGATAAAATATTTCAGAAATAAGATTATTTAATGGTGACTGTGTCCTATTCATCATAATTTAAAAGTTAGCTTTGATGCCAAAATTGTACCTCACATTTCAGAAAGGACTTACATTTCATATAACATGGATGTACCAAATGAAGGACTTTATTGATTAGAAATGTTTGGATGCCATTTCAGGGATAATTAGAAAACTACTCAACTGCTATGAAAAACTTACATAATAAAAACTTGGAGCGTTACACTGTGAATTTTAATAAATATAAGACATTGGAAGACAGATTATATGCAATTTTACAGGAACTGAAGAAAAATTATGATTACACTTACATATTTTGACAAGCAATACACTACCTAGTATATTCTTCAGACCCTAAGACAAAAATATAGCTGTAATTACCAAGGCAGCCCTGGTGGCACAATGGTTAAGCACTCGGCTGCTAACGGAAAGGTTGGCTGTTTGAACCCACCATATGCTCCACAGGAGAAAAGACCTGGCTATGTGCTCCCATAAAGATTACAGCCTAGAAAACCCTATGGGGCCGTTCATGTCTGTTACATCACGTTGCTACAGTTGAAAATCAACTTGATAGCACCTAACAACAACAACGGAGCCCCAGTGGAGCAGCGGTTAAGAGCCTGGCTGCTCACCAAAAGGTCAGCAGTTGAAATCCACCAGCTGCTCCTTGGAAACCCTGCGGGGCAGGTCTGCTCTGCCTATAGGGTAACTATGAGTTGGAATCAACTCAACGGCAATGGGGTTTAATACCAACATCATAATTACCAATGTTTAGTTATTAATTATCCTTCGGCTCTCTGCTTTGATCAAAAAGAACTTATCCAGACCACTCAGAGGAGGTTAGTCTCCCTGTAATATATGTGCTATCCTACTGCAGCTTTTTATTAGAAGACAAAACCTACCTTGTAATTATTTGTGACACTTGACTGTAACTTTGAGGAGGAGGAGGCTGCTGTGTCCACTGTTATAGGAAGCATTATGTTCAGCACTTATTGTCTTAGTCATCTAGTGCTGCTATAACAGAAATACCCCAAGTGGACAGCTTTAACAAACAGAAATGTATTCTCTTACAGTCTAGGAGGCTAGACATCTGAATTCAGGGCACCAGCTCCAGGGGAAGGCTTTCTTTCTCTGTAGGTTCTGGGGGAAGGTCCTTGTCATTAATCTTCCCCTGGTCTAGGAGCTTCTCAGCACAGGGACCTCAAGTTCAAAGGACACGCTCAGCTCCCGGCTCTTTTTGCTTGGTGGTAGTGAGGTCCCCCACCTCTCTGCTTTCTTTTATATCTTAAAAGAGACTGACTCAAGATACAACCTAATCCTGTAGATTGTGTCCTGCCTCATTAACATAACTGCCTCTAATCCTGTCTCATTAAAATCATAGAGGTTAGGATTTACAACACAAAATGGAGGACTAGTACACAATACTGGGAATCATAGCCTAGTCAAGCTGACACATATTTTTTTTGGGAACAATTCAATACCTATAACACTTACTGAGCCTCTACTATCTTTCCTTTTTCTATTGAGCATCTTTTATTTATTTTTTGGGGGGCAGGGACATGCATGAATGCATCAATAAACACTGTACTATATTGCAAAATATACTAACCCCTCCACCAGCTATACCCATAACCCTGGATTTCCTCACCTATTAAAAAAATTACCAATCTATTCAATACACTGATATTCTTAAGCTATCTGAATTAAAAGCAAAAGCGTTCAAAACATAGCCACCAGGAGACTGTAAGTTGTAAAGAAAGCTAAATAAGGTAATTAAAAAAAAAAAAAAAAGGCAAAACAGAACCAACTGCTATCAAATCCTACGAAACCAAAATCAAACCCGTTGCCAGTGAGCTGATTTTAACTCACAGAGATCCTACAGGACAGAGCAGAACTGCCCCACAGGGTTCCAAGGCTTTGATCTTTACAGAAGCAGAATGCCACATCTTTCGCAGAGTAGAGGGTGGGTTCCAACTGCCAA